AGAACTCAATAAAGTTAATAGCATCTTCCAATGCTTTTCCTTTGTTGACAAAATTGGATAAATTGAGTGAATCGAAACATTTTAGTAGCTTCCCCTTTATCAAATCATTTCCAAGAGTAGCTATAAAAAATTATTCATTGATTGATAATTAGTGCTTACTAACTTTTAACGTGTTGTCTTCTGTCCTGAGTGACAGTTTCTCTTCTTCCCTTGATCAATACTTTAAACTGTAAACAAAGCAAAACTGCCAAAATTAAAAAGAGTAGCAAACACACTCTGCGGGATTGCAACATCACCTCTTGCTCTTTTAGAATAGGTGTTGAATAGAAATAGACTTGCCTCAAGTTTTAATAAACAACGAAAGTTTTATTGCTTATTTGAAGCATAATTCTAGTCTTCCGATGAATTAGTGGCCGCGTAGTCAGGGAGAATGTTTGCGGTTAGTCTCGCAAGACTCGCATAGTGTCTGGCTAGTCTCGCGTATCCAGACCACACCCTCCGTGCCACCCGTAGGCACGGAGGGTGTGGTCTGGCTACGCGAGACTAGTGTAATGTTTTGGCATTGCAATATTTTTGGCACTAAATTTTGGCATTTCCAAAGGTGAAGTTTCGGGGGTATAAGATCGGAACATATGGACCATGCACTTTGTGTCTAATCTTGTTCTTTTGAATATAATCCAGTTATTACCTTGCTCTATGGCTGTACCTAGAATTATTGTTGTATCTACGTAGGGTGGACAACAATGTAGCATCGATACTCAATTCACAATAGTACAAGAATTATTGTCAATTAAGTTACATCCTCCAGAACTCAAGAGCAACAAGGGATAAACAAATCATAGTGAGTGATAGACTCTCTATAACTAAACAAAACAGATTATCCGTGCAAATTAAAGCAATCATAATGCAAGTAGATCTACACAAACAGCAGAAGAAACATAACTAGCAACTAACAATAGCTGTAAAACATTAAGACCTATACTATGTCCATTAACTACGACTGGTTGTTAACTAAACCAATTAAAATAGTGAAAACAAAGTATCACAAATTAATACCAAAAACTGCATCTACAGTATTATGATTAAATTTAATATCAATGATACAGAGTTGAGCGCTTCATTTGAAGTTATATTTAATGTAAGGGACCTCGACATCTTCCCCCTGATCATCAGAGCAGCATATCTCAAATACAAGGTTACGAACATGCGGAGCTATCCCTTTCTTACTGGCAGCTTTAGCCACTTCAGTCATACTGGAGAAAGAAGAGAAAGATACGTCATTGATTGATGAAAGGGTAAAACTCACGGCATTTTCTTTCTCTCTGTAACTTTAGCTTTCTGCATGAAGAATGAGTAGAGTATTGAGACATCATAAGAAAGCATTGAAATATCAAGACGATGATCATTCTGTATAAAAGTCAATAACAATTATTTGACACAATGGTCATTCTTACTTGGAATAAATCTAAGAATTCTCCTAGTGTCATTTCAGATCCGTCCTCTTTCCTTCCTTGAATATCAAACCTATCCCACAGTGTCCATTCTTTATCATAATACTAAAGAAATGTAATCAATGTTTTCTCCTATTCTTATTCTCACTTTCTTCTTTGGTGCTGGCATTGGTTCTGAGAATCCAAAGAAAGGGAGTGCCAGGTTAATAAATCCATTCTTGAACGTCTCAATCTTCTTGTTGCCATTGGCCAACTAAAGGAGAGATCATTGAGGTGACAGTCTTATAACCATGTACTGTAGTGCATATAGAGAGATACACAATTTAGGAAAGAGGAAGCACGCAAGATACGATAATTCTAAATGTACCTTATAAAGTTCCAAACAGACCAGACCAACAACCAGTGAAGTAGTTGTAGCAATTGCAGGAATAATCTTACCAGCAATACCTTTACTCTAAATAACAGAGAGAGAGAGAGAGATTTAAGGTGTACTTCAGTGTTAATCAATACATTACCTTGTGATAATCAGCAGGTTCAATACTATAATTACCAGCTCTTAAATTAGAACAAGCAACAATAAAGTCCATGTGATAGTTAGTATCATCATCCTACAAATACAAACACATCATAATAAATGCATATTGGTGTCCTTATGCTATGAAGAAAGTTAGATTAGTTTTCAACAGATAATTTTCGAGTTACGAGCATTTTAAAAAATGAGCCAATTTTTGAAAAAAAAAAACAAAAACTATAGCCCATGGTTTTTTCCAAAAAATGGCCCCAAAATCATCTCCAATTTTTATTACATTTTCTGATACATATTGATGTCCTTATGCTGTGTAGAAAGTTTGAGCTGATTCCGACAAATATTTTTCGAGTTATGGCCATTTTATAAAATGAGCCAATTTCTGAAAAATTCCCTGTACTATAGCCCATGGTTTTTTCCAAAAAATGGCTAAAAAATCACACCTAATTTTTATTACATTTTCCAATACATATTGATGTCCTTATGGTATGTAAAAAGTTTGAGCTGATTCCGACTTAAATTTTTCAAGTTATAGCCATTTTATAAAATGAGCCAATTTCTGAAAAATGCCCTGTACTATAGCCCATGGTTTTTCCGAAAAATGGCCCCAAAATCACCTCCAATTTTTATTACATTTTCTGATACATATTGATGTCCTTATGCTGTGTAGAAAGTTTGAGTTGATTCCGACAAATAATTTTCGAGTTATGACAATTTTTAAAAAGCAAGGCTATAGCCAATGGTTTTATACATGTACATGTACATGGTTCATCAAGAAAGGCCCCCCAGACAGTTCTCCATTATCATTACTTTTTCAAAGTCTAATGGTGTCATTTTGAGGTCCTTTAGCTCCTGGAGAGAAGGGAGTGAGTTCTCAATGGCAGTCATTTCATCTGTATCACTAGTAACAGCATTGGAAGCAGCTTGGGCCTCAGCATCAGTTGTATGTATTACGACACCTGTAAGATGAAAAGATAATATTATTATGTGCATTAATTTTCATAACATTTTTTCATTACCTGATTTAGGAACAAAGGGTGGAACTACAACAGCAGTGGCCATTCGTCTTATTTCTTCTTTATCTTTAACTGGTTTGATATTGTAAGTCTCAGCATATAATATACTACCAGCAACAATGAACTGCAAATGAAGATCCTACACACACACACACAGAGTATAATGTACACATAATCACTAATAAACCATTCATTACTTCATTAGGATCAAATTTAATAGGAGTTGGGCAGCGTTTAGGTCCCGACCAAAATGGCTGACCAGTAGTAGTCTTATGATCAGGAGGAAACACGTGGAGCAATTGTGCTATCGTGTTATAATAATACTCCTGGAATAATAGTCTGGCCCATTCTACACAGTCGGGAAATTTAGTTGGCCTTTTATCAACTGCAGCTGTCTTTAACGTACGAAGAGTCATTAACTAACAATAGGGAAAGGATTAAAAGGGAGAATACTAATATAAAGAAATACACAAACACAAACACTTACAGGTTCATTGCCAGCTCCTTTGTGAACCCTTGCAAGAAATCCAGCTGGATCACTATACATAAATAATTTTAAATTTGCCTTATTTTGTGCTTCTTGCTTTACCTTAAATATTGACAAACGATGTCAGGAGGTTGAGCAAACAACTCTTCAAACTTCTCTCTAGCCCACTACAAAAAAGAGAAGAGAGGCTATCAACTGCTATTTTTTGCTGCCATAAAAAACTTAATTCCTTCACAAAAAACACACACTATTGTGTATTATGCACTATTATATACTACACCTGTAGTGTGTGCTCAATGGCATTAGGGAAGTTGTGGAGAGTGCATATTGGCACTGTCTTCTCTGGAGGATCTTGTGATGATCCATAGCTCTCAGTTGTATTGGGCAGTACAACCTGAACGTTTCCTTTGGTACCAAGAGTACCTGATTCCAGCAAAGGCTTGCGATAATAGACACACCTCCTATCCATGTACAGACCTGGGATTAAACAAGGGGATAGAATGAATATTATATTGCATTAAAATGGAATACGGTAAACTCACGGGCATCAACGTTATCCAGTGCATTACAGACTCCGTCCAAAGACTCAAAGAAATCATCATTATAAATATCTGAGTATTAGAGAATTGTTTTTATTATTATCAGCAATGTCATTATAGTATAATATAATACCTTCACTATCTACTCCTACTCTGTTCTGCTGAGCCTCAATATTTAAAGAAGGATTCATTCTTTTAACTGAGTTAGCAGCAACTGTACTCTTTGGTTTCTGTAATAAAAAGAGAGAAAGAGAAGAGAAAGAGAGAGAGAAGAGGATAGAAGTATCAAACTAGAGGTCATGCATTACCTGAATGTCCCATGACCTGAATAGAAACTGCCTGTTAAGATTGCTCTTCTCAATATGATCCATATCTGTTACAAACACTTTACCATTTGGGCCAGCACCAATCCCAATCATAGCAAAGTTCTTTAACAATTCACAGCCGATAGCACCTGATCCTACCTTTAGGAGTACAAATGAGAAGATAAAGAGATTACAAGTATGTTTATTTAGACGTACTATGAAATATTTCAACTGTTCCAGTTTCTTTTGATAGTCTGATCCAAATATAGCAATCTGTCCATCATACCTACTGCCCTGAGGAACAGCAGCTGCCTCTGGTAACTCATCCCCTCCTTCCTCTTCACTCAAACACTCGAGAGCATCAAAATAAAACCACTGGACAAGAGGAGAGAATTTACCACTGCAAGCCTAAAGAAAGGATATCATTATTATGTAGGTCATTGAGTTTTATCTGTCTTACCTTCATAACTTCCTGTGCAGTGATGGATCCTATTACAGCTTGCATTGGACTACAGTCACCTCTGGATAAGTATGATAGCTTCATCATCAATTTCTCATCAATCTCTTCTACCTAAAACAATATTAAGAAAATAATTACATGTATTATATGGCATTTATTTCTCCATTATACTTTAGCAACTGCAGCAGTATTGACTTCCTTGACAACTTCAAGAAACTTAGCACCATCTTCTCTGTTGTAAGGACGTGGCAAGCAACCACACTTACTCTTATAAGAATGAAGAGCCTAAGAATCAGAGAGAGAGAAAGAGAGAGAGAGAGAGAGAGAGAGAGAGAGAGAGAGAGTGAAGGTATATGTACACAATAAGTAAGTGTATCTTACTTGGAATCCAATATGAAGTTGTGCTGGTCGTTCAAACTTTGCAAAATCGGATATCAAAAACTCAGGTTCATTCAACGACTCATTAATGGATTTCTAATACATAAAATAACAAATAATAAACAAATAGATAAAAAATTTATATTCCTTACAAATTTAAATGTCTTTGGCATTTTAACTTGAACAGCAGCACCTCCTTTAACATAGTCACTAAAACCAGTCGTATCACCAATAGAGAATGTATAGGGACCTTTACAAAGATATTAGTACAATACTTCTATTACAACCAATGTATATGTATACCTAATTCTTTAACTGGTCGGGGCTGGCAGCCATTGAGTTCAGTCATTCCTTCAACTTCTTTGAATGTTACATAATCCTCTCCGGTAAGGTTGTGCCTGGTCTCGTCCGAGCATGTGACCACTCCCTCTGTATCCTAGCAACAGGAAAGGAAATGAATGACAGGCCTGCGCCTGGACAGCTTTTAATGTGATGTGTGGAAAGTAAACCCCACCCTCTTTATTTAATATAATTATAACAGCAAAATTTTTGTTAAAAAAAAGGAATATGCAACCACACAGCTACAGGATAGTTTCATACAACTAAAGCAGCTACACTAGTTTAATGAACAGTACACACAAACACAGCTTCTACTTAATCTCAGTTTACTTGTCATCATTTGACATACAACTCATAAAAGCTAACAGGAACATCTTCATCATGTGTACCCTGATCAGCACACACCCTCAGCTCAAGGTAGTCAGTAGTGGTAGTGCCAAATGCTTTATTGAACCATGGAAGACTAGGACGAGATGTACAACAATCAACTTCAAGACTACCACACCCTTTACCATCCCACAATGGATCAGATGTATAGAGTTCAATCTTATATGTACCATCAGTAGAAGGATTACCAGATTCACAGAAGTAGTCATTACCAATGAAAGACTGAAGAGTTGAGTTTTGAGAGCTACCTTGAGAACAAGGGCAATTGAAACGACCATCAGGACCATGACTATGATAACTAGCTTCATTCAGTCCAGCCATTAGTGTCCAGACATGTTGACGAGGACAACCACGAGTGATACTGATACCATCGACATAATAAGAATTGATATCATTATGACCTTCAAAGCCAACATTATTATGATCAACTGCATCAGGTGTAGCATACTGATATCCCACTACTTTACCACACACTTGAGAGTAACTGATGCCATTAGATGGAAACTGAACTGATGTACAACTGCCTCTATCAAATTTTAGTCTACCACAAGCTCTAACTTCTTCTGACTGGTACAGTCTAAACCCAGGAGGACAGTTCTGTGTAACATCAGTCATATTCAGGCATGCTAGTCTGGTCCATCCTCCTCCTGAACCACACAGCTCCTCCATATTACAGTAAATGTTACGACCATTAACATAATAGTAGCCAGAAGGACTATTAGGCAGAACCTCCTTAATAGCTTTACAGGACACTGGTGTAGCAGAGTTCAATACAGAAGTTGCATTCTGTATCTGTAGTATTTTCTGTACTGCAAGATATACATCATCAACAGCACCAGCAGTGGATATACCAATGGATCCTTGACTAGCAAGAGTAGAGGTAATAATCTGACCATTTTTTTTAAGAAAGTCTGACATGTTTGAAATCATGTGGCCATTTTGTTGAACAAAACTGGACAAGGTAGAGCCTTCACTGCAACTGGTCACTCCTGTAAGCTCTGATGGCAATTCTTGCTCACAAGAGCAAGTAGATTTACAATGGACAGCATTGTAAGAAACCACAACCAAAATTGCAACATTCATCATTAACACCACTGGTACCAAGACAGTATACAGCGGGCATTTTCGTAGATATCCTAGTACATCACCTTTGTCATTCATGACTCTAGCCTTGTCATTCATGACTTCATCATCATTCATACATATAGCTTCAGTCTTTTCATTACGAGATGCCCTTACCAAGGGTGTTTTCTTAGACTTAGAGGTAGACATCACAAAGCAGTAACAATTTTATAGACCACCCAGAGTGAGAATTGCAAAAGCTATGAATTTCATTAATTTTATATACGGTATCCGCCCACGCGCCATAATTGGCTGCCATTTTGGTTGGCAAGTTTGTTAAGGAAGTCAATGGAGGCACGAAGAAAATGCCTCACTTACCTGCTGTAGCTCTATCAATAGCTAAAAAGTACTTGTTATAAGAAAGAATAGCTACCTTTAAGCTTATCCTGTGAAAGATTTGGTCAAATTCGCTCCAGAATTCTTAATACAGGTTTGTTTTTATGTCGTCCCGTTTGCTCTCCATTGAAAGTTGCCAACCAAAATGGCGGCCGGAATTTATTTCATTGTAAACCACGCCTTACAACCGTAATAGTCTTCCCACTAGTTCCCACGCAAGCAATTCTCACTCTGGGTGGTCTATAGACCAGTTGGCGCTAAGTACATTCATAGAATTTTAAGTATATTCATTGTGATGCCGTAAATAAAGTAAAATTTTCCTACCGCCATTTTGGAGTCCTACTTCCAATGGTTGTCTATGAAGCGATCGTGAAAAGAGCTTATTCTCCAAAAACTGCTGTATTTATTCGTTAAAGCAATATTGCTACTGCTTACTGACCATCATCCAGTGTCTAGAGTTGGCTCATGGACTTTAATAAGTGCCACTAGAAGATATAGAAGCAAAGATATGACTTTCTCCCATTCTACTCTTAGTAACTAAAACTCCAAAATGGCGGCAGGAAAATTTTACTTTATTTACGGTATCACAATGAATATAGAGTATGTGGGCGTAACATGAGACAGTACCTTTTATGAGACAATGCAACGAAATTCGATAAAATTTTCAATATAAGATGCTTTCATAAGATTCTAAATGCTGAAAAGCAACAAGCGTAACAGTGTAAAAAATATTTCTATAATTGATTTCACCACTTTGCAAGTACAACTTGGTCATTATTAAGACTTATAGAGGTTCTCTCTACCTTCAAATGCTTCTAGAGAAGTTTTTAAACAGTATCTTTATGTTCTCTTGCTGTTAGAAAGCTCTTAATACCATATACATGGTATTTCACAAAATATTTTTTGAGCAACTTCAAAAACTCATAAAATTCCAAATTTAATTGGTACTAACTCAAATTTTCTAAACAACATAAAAACAAAAACATATACATGCACCAGAAAAATTATCAAAATGGAGAACTCTCTCCTAGCAAATTTCAATGAAATACATGTACCACGGGCTATAACCCATCGTCATTGACCAAATTTTCACATGTATAGCACAAGATTATCATTACTATTTAATTTACTTTTGTTACTGAAGATATGAGTACAGAGACTGGAGGCTCTCCATCAATATCAGACACTATGAATTCATTACCAAAATCACAAAACACTTGTCTACAAATCAAAATATTAGTATACACAAGTAAATTTAGAACTTAGAAAATTCTTTCTCTCTCTCCCCCTCTCTTTGCCTCTCCCCCCTCTCTCTTTCCTTACCCAAAGAGTCCTTTGGTATCACATACAATGAATTTGATGTCATATGAATGACAGAATCCTCCAATCCTCACCTGATCAGTTAAACTAGAATCAGTGAGTACAACTACCTAAAGAGACACAGAATAAAGAGGCAATCATTGATTAATTCATTCATTATCAGTACTTGATATTTCTTCAGTTTCTCTTCTGACAATTCTCCCTTCAATACATCAACTGGTACGTATGAATTGAGTTCTGACAGATGAGGCTGTCACTGACAGCAAAAGAAAGAAAGCACTCTAAATATGTGCTCTTGTATAGCTAATTATTATTTACTGTTAATTGCATAGTTATAAAACCATAGATAAACCATAGTTTCCGGGTCTAATATCTATGATAAAACTGACAATAGCTATAAAACAAATTTACACAAGGAATTTGACATTTTTTTTTCCAATTGAAGCAATCCAAAGTAGTTTGCACAGTGGGTGAAAACCTACATGTATAACAACAACCTATAGCAGTACTACAGTAATACTATCACTAGCAAGGGTACATTTGCCATTAGTGATCCCAGGCAATGCTATTTTACGGTGATGATTTTAAAATTAACATTAAATACCAGTTTTGTTAGGTATACTATCTAGTTAGTAGCTCACTTCAAATCTAAAATATTTAAATTAAACTTACATACAGAGTGAAATAATTTCACTTCTAGTCTACTATGGGATTTTAAACAATAATTATTATTCTTGCCATGAGTGGCTCCATGAGTGATTCTTGTCATTTAGTAACTGGACTAGCTTTTTATTGAAACGTTTGAAGAATACTTTAAGTCTATTTCTTGTCCATGTTAACAGTTGGAGGCGAACATCATGATGATAATCAAATGAAACTTGTGAGTTTTGCCCTTTGCTAATCCAATCATTCCAGTGATCAACTTTTGGTGGCTTCGAAATTCCAAGAAAATCCCAAACTTCTCTCCAACTTTAAGGGGAGACGCAAAGAAGTCTTCAGCAGCAATAAAAAAGAAGCTTGATCTTGGAAAGAGACTAAACCACTTCTTAACATGAATGTAATAAACAGACATTGCAAGTGGAGCTTTACCACAAGGAAAGTCATCACTGTGCTTATCAAATATCAGAGCCTGTTCAAGAACACATTCCTCTACAGAGGACCTTTGAGAGCAGCTCTCAAACTTCTCCAGTCTCTCATTCACCATTCTATGAAATACCCCTGGACCTAATAGAGCCTGATCTCTTGTAAGATTATAATTTCTAAAGACTTGGCTTGAGCAATCATACCAAAAATTTGAGTACAAGTATTCAACTGGATCTCTTAGAATAACAATGAACTGTGGCCTTGGCAGCAATACTGAGAGAGCAGTAGGTATTAAGCAAACTCCTTCATATGTATCATTCCATCC